TTCAATGTGAAAACTTCATGCAGATAGCTGCTTAGCTCCTAGTCAGTTGCTTCTCTGTTATATAAATACATGTCCTTCAAATTTATTTAAAGGCCTCTACAACTCTCCTTCACTGCCTCTAGGCTTTAAAGATTCTTTGTAAGATTAATTTTTTAGGCACATAAGGAAATCACTTTTGCTGGTTTTGCTCAAAGACATAAGACAGGTGACTTCATATTCTGTATACTCCTTGAACAGTAGTAAGATCATATTCTCTTAAACCTGTTTAGGAATCTGTTGACAAGAACCTCACTAGAGAATAAACAGGTATCATGTGGCATAGCTGCTTTCCAGATAAAGACAAGTCCTTAGACTGAAGCCTTATTAACATGTTTTTATTTATGGCTATGGTTCTACTGAAATGAGGTACATCAAGATCACAGTTCCCATGGGGTGCAGAATACTGTTCTGTCACAGCTTGTGCTGAGCATATGGAAGACTAGGCTGAATCCCCTGCACGAAAAGGGTACAATTCCCTTCCTGTGACATTCATTCCTAAGTGGTTCCAAATCATGTGGAACTCCTCTTTATTCTTAAATATATAGTGAAAGAAAGACAACACAAAAGTCCTTGTGATTCACAAAAAACTCCTAATATACAGATATTATCAATAGCCGTAGAACTTGATTTGACAGCTACATCTCCATCTATATTTTTTTGACAAAATTCAGAATAATTCAGGCCTATGTCTTTCTGACTGTAGGAATTTTCACATACAATTGGCTCCCATTATTCCTGAGTTGTACATTCCTGAATCCAACCAGCCATGAATGGGAACCACTTGAGGAAAAATTTCTGTCTGTACTAAACACATTATAAATTTGTCATTACTATTCTGTGAACAAGACAACAACTAATTACATTGTGTGAATATTTAAAATAATCAGAAAAACCTTTAAAGTATACAAGACAATATCCCTAAGTCATAAACAAACACCACACTGTTTTATGACTTCAGGGCTGGAAGATAGCTCAGTAGACTAAGCACCTGTTTAGGCAAGTGCATGGACCAGGATTCAAACCTCAGCAACACAAGCCACACCAGCCCCACACCCAGGCTTGCTGACCTGGTCACCAAGACTGGGGGTAGTGCGTGGTGACATGCACCTGTAATCCCAGAGCTGGGGAGGCTGAAAACAGGAGGATCACTACAAGTACCGAGCTGTGCAGTGAGACCCTGTACCAAATACATTAAAAAAAAAAATTCTGCCTCATTCTTCATTTTTACCTTTTAAAGCTATAGACTTCAAGTTTTCAACCCACGGAAAGTGGGAGCAGAATTACAGAACAGTAGAAATAGTCCCTTACATAGTCATTTCTTGAGGGTGGAACATTTCGAAACTGGCGAATCCTTTTAGTAGAACCACCTGACAACTAGCAGTACTGTCCTCCCCACCATCAGGTCTTCACTTGCTGCTTTGGTAAACCTTCAGTGAAGTTGCTGATATCAATACTACAGTCATCTTCTAGATAAAGTGGACACATGAGAAAATCAACATGACCACTAGAGCGGCTACACAGCCCTTGCAGTACAAGACTAATTTTGTCATTAAGGTGCATAAACTTTGACAAGACTTGTATTTATTCTTTATAATGTTTCTATTCATAAATTATTAATTAAAATTTTATGAGTTTTGATATTCAACAACAAGCACTTAACAAGTTAAAAAAAACACAAAAGTATTGAGTTTCTGATATTGTTTATAAAAAAGCACCAAAATTTTCAACAATGACTTGTTTCTGGGGCTGGGGAGATGGGTCAGTGGAATAAGTGCTTCCCTGGCAAGCGCAAGGGCCTGAGTTCAATCCCCAGTTCCACAAAAATAAATAAACAAACAAACAATGACTGATTTTTACTTTAAAAAGTCTAAAATTCCCATATGAACTACAATGAAAATACCAATAGAACTCTAGGAAAAAACCCTTTACTTCAATTATCACACCTATGGCAGCCGGCACACAGGACAACAGCACACTCCATACACACATCACTCACATGATCACGCCACTTACTACTACTTTAAAGATGAATCAAAACCCTGAGCTAGCTCATTATGCACCTTTGTGTACTATAGGAAAAAGTACACACAGAACGTGTCTTTTGCTTTGCTGGCCTTTTCGTGGGACAAACTTGACATTTCAATGAGCTTGCTGTTGAACATAAAACATCAATAAATTATTAAATTCTTAGTATGTATGCAGTGTTTAGTAGACATCAACATTTTCACCATCAGCCTTGTATCTACCTACGAAACATAAAAGTTAACACCAATAATAGAAACCTATGTGAACTACAATGTAAACACAAACAAAAGTTTACCACAGAAATAAGCTCTGCTTTAACTGTCACACTCAAGGTAGTCTCCACGTGACAACTGCATGTTCCATACGCAAGTACCGCTTATACTGAAGTACCAGATTTTGTTTCTAATAGCACACAGGTGACATCTTATTATTGTCCCATTGTGATAGTTAGTCTTTGGAGTACATGCTCTGCGTGTTTACCTGGCAGCTCACCAGTGTGCTCTGTAATTTTTTTGTGTGTCGTTCCCTGGCCAGAAACATTCTGCTGTCTTATGAGCTCCGTAAGAACACTTCTCTGTCATATTTTGCACTTCTTATTTCCTTTGTAAACTATCAAGCTATTTACACCACACGCATTTAGGGTCAGACAGAACACAGCCACTGGCTAAAGCTTTGTGTTTCAAGTGACATCACCGCTGCTGCCCAACTCACCAACACCTCCCCCCAGTTCGGGTTTGTGGCTGGAAGCTTCCCTGGTGAGGTTTCCCTACCCATATTGCCATCACAGTGAAATGCTGACAACAGCGGTCCCAGCGTGCTGCTCTCCGCCATATACAAGGCCAATGTCCTAGCTCTCAGAAATCCAAACATCGCACTGGACGTTTCTCTGTTTGAAACTGGATTCTCGTCTGCAATTTCTACTCATTCCTGGGTGCGGTTCCTGTGCCGGTCCACTTGTGTTCTGTCAGCAAACGGAACATCAGTGAGCCAATGTCAAACGTCACATTCTGATTGGGGGGAGGGGTGCGCGGCACAAGTCCGTTCACAGCATCAGTCAGTTTATTACTACACGGATAAGGACCTGGTGGCCGAGTTCCAGGATAAATGTCTAAATGGAAAGGATAATAACTCCTCCCATCTACAAAGGCGTGAATTTCTGTGTCGTATTCTGACCCATCACTTTTCCCTAAGTCTTGGACATTCCTGTGATCTCCATGAGAAATCTGTACTGGGCACAGCACCCCTACGAAGGCTTTCAGGGCCGCTAGTGAGGGGGCATCACAAACACGTTTCTGGATACGGCTGTTGGTGCATGTGGAATGCTTGCTTCACTTCCAGCCTTTGTGGACTTCACAGCATCTTGTAGCGTTTCACCCGACAATTCCCAACAATGAACGGCAGTGCCGGCATTCCGTCCAATGTTTCACCTCTCCCGAGGCTTCGCTGTATTTTCAGACCTAGTTCTAACACTGGACCGGTCCCTTTGGTCATGTGGCCATTCTGCAACGCTTGTTTTTTCTTCATCGTCTCAATCAAGAAGGGCTGTGTTTTCTGTGTCAGTCAACTCTGGCTCCATTTCACAGTCACGGGAACTCCGGCTCACACGGCCACCGTGTCATCACTCAGCCCGCCTCTCTTCTGTTACGAAAGTCTCTATTGTACCACAATGGGTCGTGTTTGTCATCTACGTATAAGTAATCTGATAATTCGCTTTTGCCCTCCTAATACTTCAAATCTCGTTTTTCATGTGCCATTACACGGAGCTGGGCTACTTCTATCCGGAAACTCAAAAGAATTTAAGAGATCCTGGCGTGGTGTGGGTCTGCTGGACCCTCTGTGATGCTCAGGTAAACAAACGTATGTAAAACCTGTTAGCTAGAGCATAAAGGTGGATCTAAATCCTGTTTTGATCCTTTGCTCACATGCATGTTCCCTCCCATTTGTCACACCAAGTGGGTAAACACAGATTGCTTCCTGTGTCCCTCAGGAAAAGGTACTGACTGAGAGGCCCACCATGCTATTATAACGCTAAGGCACAAATTTAGAGTAAAAAAGGAAGGGATGGGTCTGCTGGACCCATATTTATGCTAAGCTAATGCACGAACCATGGGGAATTATCAGAGAAACCAGTCCAGATGAAGCTGCACTTTTTCCTATAGTACACAAAGGTGCATAATGAGCTAGCTCGGGGTTTCGATCCACCTTTAAAGTACTAAGTGGTCAGATAGCGTACGTAAATATTACCATGTACATATGTGTATATATGCATGCAATTTTCTTTAATTTTTTGTCCATCATAAGAAGCACTATTACATATCATTACACAAATGAGCAAACCTACAGATTAGAGTAAATTAGGAAATAACTGAATCAGCAGAGATCTTTTAAAAAGGTCTGTCTCTTCTAAACATGGTAGAGAAGTGCTTAATAACATATTAGACCTAGAACTAAATAAGATTCATTTTCCAGGACAAAACAAGTATCAGCTTTAGAAGGTAAGTTAAAAACACCATAGCTTGGAGTCTAATACTCCCATGGCCCAAACAAGGATAAACTGTGTCTTCTTCTATGGGAGAGGGCCTACCATAGCCTGGCTTCCCATTCAAACCACAAAAAAAAGAAGGAAAATGTCAATGGAAGACTTCAGGCAAGAAAGCAACAGAATAAAACACAAATATGTCATAATTAACAAAATCAGAAATCTGAGAACACTTTCAAGCTGTCAACTGGCAGCTTTCAGTTAATGGACCATTTATGGATTAGCAACTAAATAAACCTGTCACACAGCACATGTTGAAATAAAAAGTCTCCAAGTGAAACTGCATAGAAAATTAACACCATTTGCAATTGTTTTCTTTAAAAAAAATCTGTATTTTCCACAAGTTTAACCAAAGCATAAGCACTGTGCCATGGGCTAATTCTAGCGTCTTGCTTACCTGAGGCCGAGTTCATCAAATTCTGCTGCACAGGTGGACTGGTGGGGGCTGTAACATTCATCTGAGAGAGCATGGCCTTCCTGGGGTCCTGCCATGTTGTTGTCTGGTCGATGTGACTGAGACAAAACAAACCACTCTGTTAGACAAGTACTATATCCCAAAAGCAATTCTTCTCTGCAGGCTAATAACCACAGGATGCAATATGAGCTCTGCAAAAACACAGTCACTGCATCTCACAGTTCCTACTCTTCCTCTGTAAAAAGGTGCTCAGTGTTTATTGCTTAGATCTTTAAGTGCAAGGTTTGAAAAACCTATGCATAGAGTTAAGCAGAAATCCTCATCTAATAGGTAATTATTACTCCCTGCTAACCTAAATATAAAATAGTTTGTAAATTAATCATCTAAAATAGTAATCAGCACTAAAACTGAAGATTCCTGAGAATCACTTTTTTCTTCTAGATCTCAAAATGTCAAATAACATATCAATTTTATGCGTAAAATCTTTTTTTAAAAAATGTTTTTGGTTGTTACATCTACGGAGCTTGGACTCATTGTGATCCTCCTATTTTCAGTCTCCCCAGTGCTGGGATTACAGGTGTACACCACAAAGCCTGGACTCTGCGGCCAGCTCAGCCCGCCCTGCGCTGCTGCTTAAAGACTAAGCAAGTACTTTAGTCTGCTAAGCTATCTCACAAGCCCCTAAAACCTCATTTTAAAAGTAAAACACACACAAAAAGCAAGAGGTTCTCACAATATATACTCAGAAGACAAAACACAACTTGAAATGTCATCTGTAAGGTTCTGAGGTCTCTCTATGACTTCCAACAAGTCTCTACACAAAACCTTTTGTTGCTTTCCCTCCCTCCCTTCTGCTATGTCTTTCTCTCTGACTTTTCTGAACTGAACCCAGGGCTTTTACCCTGAGCTACATAACCACCCCTTCTACATTAATTATTTTGAGACATGGTGTCCCTGATTGCCCAAGCTGGCCTCAGACTTGTGATCCTCCTGATTTACTCTCCCAAGCTGCTAGGAACACTGGCATGTGTTCCTATACTAACAAACTTTTTACATATTAATAACTCGCTGAGAAATATACTATACATATAGATTTTTACATAAAATTAGGGAGGAGAACAGCTTAAGATCTCAAGAAACAAAAGTACAAAGCATCTTAAACAGTATCTGGCATACAGGCTTTCAATAAACATTTTTCAATAAAGCATTTTCAAATCAGCACTAAAGATACTACCTAAACAATTATTCTGAAATAACATCAAGACTCAAAGATTTATTCAAGTTCTTTCCATTCTCATTCTTAAGAGCGAAAGTCTGAAAAACAGGTAACAATGACAGATGATTGGTTAAATAAATGTGGTTACATTATGCACTATTATGCACCTGATATTTCACAAGAAAATGTAACAATATGGAAAACACTCATAATATAGTTTTTATAAGTAGGCTAATAAAACAGTACACAGAGTACAAGGCTGCTTTTTTAAAATACATGTGTGCAGTTACAGTATATGGCAAAAATTGTCATCAAAACTATTTTGACAGTTTTATTTACATGATAAGATGAGAATGCTAACAAATTCTCATTAATCAGAAAATATTATGAAAAAGAGGAAAAAAGATTAATTTCTTAAAAGAAATCCTCCAAAGTAATTTTTTGTAGCTGTTTAAATTTCAAGGCTGAGTTCTCTTTCTGAATCATCCCATGAGAGCCATGTCAACAGTAAAGACATATAACACTATGTCATTATCCTGAAATGAAGCTAGAATGCTATCTCATCAACAGCATATTATTAACAAGAAAGGATAATGAACTCCGACTTAGAATTGGCCCTAAGTATTATCTCATGGGTTTTATTTCTTCAGCAAGTAAAAAGATGAATAAATACAGAAGGGTTTATATATTTGGAAATGACAAGGACAATCTCACTTTAAGGATATGACAGGCCAAAAATAAATGTGAAGAAAAATGTTTATTTAGTGGCAATGTAATGCCACTTACCAGCACCTCTTGGGCTGTATCTACTCTGCAGTAACACCGTTAGCGTTTGCTAAGGTCAGGACAACACAGGCAACACTTTGTTCAAGCTTTGCCAAGTACCTTGTTCCAAAAGATCGGCGTCTTCATCAAGCCCAGTAATGGTTTATTCTCCCACCTTTCCATCCTCCACATGGGCCATCTGTCCTTGGACACATCACTACACTGTAACAAAGTGTAGGCCCCCACCCCAGTTTGGGGGTCAAGTCCAGGGCCTTCCACATGCTGGACTGAACTAACCCACAGGCCTTTCTCCCAAGGCTTATGAGTCACAAAAGAAAGGAACTCATCATCTTTCCCACAGCTTCGCAGGAAACTGAAGTCCAGTGCTAGGGAGGTAAGAAGTCAGGTGGCAGCACTTAATGTTCTCGTGGTCCCTTAGAGGGTGGAATATAATGTTTTGGAATAATCAGACGATGGTGACAGTAACACCATCATATTCCTCATAAAGTTGAACCTTTGCATGTTTAAGGCGCAGGTGTGAGTGTTCCAGGATTATATCATATGGGGGGAGGATATTAAACTATCTCTGTGTCCTATGGTCTTAATCAGTGAATTAAGCAAAAAGTGATTTTTCCAACATTTCACTTCGACCCTTGCTATCCTTTTTTGCATTCCTTGATATTTTCTTAAGTCATCCAATATTAAATATCACACAAAAGCCAGCATGTCACTAATGCTGAACACAAACTTCATCCAAAGCTGCATAAAAGACATCAATCTATAATTTTCTTCAAGTTCACTGCTTCCCAGCCTTAACTGCTCTGCAATGAGATAACTGAGTTTATCTTAGTCATAAATCCAGTTGTTGTTGTTTTTGTGTGTGTGT